TGAGAGATGGTTGTATTTGAGAGAAATTTCACCAAGGAGGTTAAAGATCTGTACAATGAAAACCAAAAGGCATTAATGACAAAAACTGACGACACAAATAAATTGAAATACATTACGTGCTCATGGAAGAATTCACATTGTTAAAATGTCCTCACTACCCCAAAGCAATCTACAAATATTTATAAGCGCCTGATGAATACCATTTTTTAAAATTAGGGATACCTAGGTGGCCCAGTTGGTTGAGCATCAGACTCTTGACTTCAGTTTGGGTCATGATACGGGGATCATTGGATAGAGCCCCACATCAGGCTCTGCACTGAGGAACTTGCTTGAAATTCTCTCTCTCCCTATGTCCTTCTCCCCCACTCACTCTCTCTCTCTCTCTCTCTCTCTCTCAAGAATAAACATTAAAAAAAACTTTTTAAATCAATAAAACCAAGAGCTGGTTCTTGAGACAGAGAAAGAGAGAAAGGGAGAGAAATATATAGCAACACAGGCCTAACTCAAGAAACAAGAAAAAGCTCAAACAATCTACATTAACAACTAAAGGAACCCAAAAAAAAAAAAAAAAAAAAAAAAAAAAGAACAACAAATAAAGCCCAAGGTAAATAGAAGGAAGGAAATAATTAAGACCAGAGCAGAAATGAATGACATTAAGACTAAAAACAGCAATAGAAAAAAAATCAGCAGGGGCGCCTGAGGGACTCAGTCGGTTAAGCATCACGTCATGATCTCATGGTTTGTGAGTTCGAGCCCCACGTCAGGCTCTGTGCTGACAGCTCAGAGCTTGGAGATTGCTTCAAACTCTGTGTCTCTGTCTCTCTCTGTCCCTCCTCTGCTTGTGCTGTCTGTCTCCCTCTCTCTCAAAAATAAATAAACATTAAAAAAAATTTTAATCAATAAAACCAAGAGCTGGTTCTTTGAAAAGGTAAACAAAATTGAAAAACACTTAGCCAGACTCATCAAGAAAAAAAGAGGAAGGACCCAAATAAGTAATAGCAGAAATGAAAGAGAAGTAACAACTATCACAGAAATGTAAAGAATTATAAGAGAATACTACAAAAAATTATACACTAACAAGCTAGACAGCCTAGAAGTCTATAAATTACTAGAAACATATAATCTTCCAAAACTGAACAAAAGAGAAATAGAAAATCTAAGGCCAATTACAAGTAAATCAGTAATCAAAAAACTACCAAAAAATAAAAGTCCAGGACAGATTCACAGACGAATTTTACCAAACATTTAGAAAAGAGTTAACACCTATTCTCATCAAACTATACCAAAAAATACAAGAGGAAGGAAAGCTTCCAAATAAATTCACAAGGCCAGCATTACTCTGATGATAAAAATCAAAAAACAACACACACACACACACGCACACACACACACATCCCTACAGGCCAATATCCTTGATAAACATAGATGCAAAATTCCTCAACAAAATATTAGCAAACCACATACAACAATACATTAAAAAGATCATTCACCACAATCAAGTAAGACTTACTCCATGGATGTAAGAATGGCTCAAGATTTGCAAATCAATGTGATACACAGCATCAACAAAACAAAGGATAAAAATCATATCATCATCTCAAAAGGTGCAGAAAACAAAACCCATTTGACAAAATTTAAATTCCATTCATGGTAAAAACTCTCAACAAAGTGGGGTTAGAGAGCACATACATCTATATAAGAAAGACTATATATATGAAAAACCCACAGCTAACATCACACTCAATGGTGAAACAAAGAGCTTCTCCTCTAAGATCAGGAACAAGACAAATATGTCCACTCTTGCCACTTTTACTCAACACAGTACTCAAAGTCCTATCCACAACAATCAGACAAGAAAAAGAAGAGGCACCACACTGGTAAAGAAGTTACACTATCTCTATTTGCAGATGACATGATACTACACATAGAAAATCCTAAAGACTCCACCAAAAAGCGATTCGAAATAATAAATGAATTTGGTAAAGATGCATGATACAAAGTTAATATTCAGAAATTGGTAGCATTTTTATACACTAATTAACAGAGCAGCACATAGAGAAATTAAGAAAACAAGACCATTTACTAGTGCACCAAAAAGAATAATAAAGTACCTAAGAATAAACTTAACCAAAGAAGTGAAAGACCTATACTCAAAAACTACAAAATAACTGATTGAAGAAACTGAAGATGACACAAACAAATGGAAAGATATTCCAAGCTCATGGATTGGAAGAATTCATATTGTTGAAATGTCTATACTACCCAAAGCAATCTATACATTCAATGCAATCTCTATCAAAATACCAACAAGATTTTTTTTAAAACCTAGAACAAATAATAGTAAAATCTCTTCAGAATCAAAAAAGACCTGGAATAACCAAAGCAATCTTGACAAAGAAAAACAAAGCTAGAGGTATCACAATTCCACATTCCAAGATATACTACTAAGGTGTAATAATCAAAACAGTACAGTACTGGCACAAAAATAGACACACAGATCAATGGCACAGAATAGAGCACCGAGAAATAAACCATTTATATGGTCAATTAATCTACGACAAAGGAAGCAAGAACATATAATGAGAGACATTCTCTTCAATAAATAGTGCTGGAAAAACTGGACAGCTACATGCAGAAGAATGAAATTGAACCACCTTGTAACACCATACACAAAAATAGACTCAAATTGAATTAAACCTAAATGTGACACCTGAAACCATAAAAATCCTAAAATAGAACACAAGTAGTAATTTCTCTGGCATCAGCCAAAGTGACATTTTTCTAGATATGTCTCATAAGGCAAGGAAAACAAAAGCAAAAATAAGCAATTGGGACCACACCAATAAAAAAAATTTTTTTTTTCAAAGCTTTTGTACAGTGAAGGAAACCAACAACAAACAAAAAGACAACCTACTGAGAGGGAGAAAATATCTGCAAATAATATATCAATAAGGTAATATCTAAAATATATTTAAAAATATATATATATAACTCAACACACACAAAAAAAAAGCCAAAAAGAAAATTAAAATGGGCAGAGGACCCATTTTATTTATCCAAAGAAGACATACAAATGGCCATGAAAAAATGCTCAACATCAGTCATCATCAGGGAAATACAAATCAAATCCAGCTCAACATCAGTCATCATCAGGGAAATACAAATCAAAACCACAATGAGATATTACCTTACACCTATCAGAATGGCTAAAATCAAAAACGCAAGAGGGGTGCCTGGGTGGCTCAGTCAGTTAAGCATCTGACTTTGGCTCAGGTCATGATCTCATGCGCTGAGCTCTGTGCTGACAGCTCAGAGCCGGAAGCTTGCTTCGGATTCTGGGTTTCCCTCTCTCTCTGTCCCTCCCCAACTGGCACTCTGTCTCTCTCAAAAATTATAAACATTAAAAAAAATTTAAGAAAATCCAATAAAAAATTAGGCAATAAATTTTGACAGATACTTCACCAAAGAAGATATATAGAGGGCAAACAAACACATGAAAATGTGCTCACAGCATTAGTCATTATAGAATGCAAATTAAAACCTCAGTAAGATACCACTGTATATATATTTGAATGGCTAAAATTTAAAAGAATGACTATATCAAGGGTTAGCAGGGATATGGAGTAACTGGAACTGTCACACACTGCCTGGTGGGAATATAAAATGTAAGTATAAACACTGTAGAAAAAGTTGGCAGTTTCTTAAAAAGTTAAGCATATACCTATCATATAACCCAGTCATTCCACTCCTAGGTATTCACCCAAAGTAAAGTGTATGTCCACACAAAGACTTGTATAAAGCTTTATGTGCAAGAGTGAATAACTAGCAATAATCTAAAAGTCCATTACCAGGTAAATGGATAAATGCAAAGCATCATGCACCCATGCAGTGGAATTCTACCTTAGCAAAAGGAATGAATTACTGACACATACAACCTGGATGAATCTTGAAATAATTATACCAAGAGAAATCAAACATAAAAGAGTATATGGTATATGATTCCATTTATACAAAATTATAGAAATCACAAACTAATCTATAGTGTAAGTGTGTAAGTGGTTTCTTACACTATACTTACACTTTGTGAATCACAAAGAAACTTTGGGAATAATGGATGTATTCGGTATCTTGACTGTGACAGTGGCTTAATTAGCATATATACATGTCAAATTTTATCGAATTGTACATTTCCAATATGTGCAGTTTGCTGTATCTCAGTTATACCTCACAAAATCTCTTTTAAAAAATTGGTAATATTGGGGCGCCTGGGTGGCTCAGTTGGTTGGGCAACCAACTTCAGCTCAGGTCATGAACTCACGGTTCATGGGTTCAAGCTTGGCGTCGGGCTCTGTGCTGACAGCCCAGCCTGGAGCCTGCGTCAGATTCTGGGTCTCTTTCTCTCTCTGCCCCTCCCCCACTCATGCTCTGTTTCTCTCTGTCTCAAAAATAAACATAAAAAAATTTTTTTTAATAAAAAAATAGGTAATACTACCTTTTCCTTTCAACTCTAAAACAAAAAGTGTATTCTTTTTCCTTTCTACCTTTGGTACTATTACTTCTAAAACATTATAGAACTAAAACTTTTTTTCCCATATTCTCTACATTTTCAAAACTGAACCCTTAGAATTCAATACTAGGCACACATGTTAAAGTTGCAAAGATACAAATAGATTGATGAGAATATTTTCCCCAACACCTAATTCCACAACCCAATTACAGACAGGAGTCCTGTGCTGGCTATTTCCCTTTATAGGGGGATACATACGACTCCAATCATCGCTTACTTCATCACTATGACCCAAAAACACCTTTGAAAAATATACTGCCACTGTCATACCCTTTAATCTTCCACGCTGCCTTTTTTGCTTTCCCATCTTCCAGTTTTCCTTGGTAACTAAAAATGATATCTATACTTGTGGTTTCATTACATTTTCTCACATTTACAAAAAATTTTTTCAAAGACATGTTTAAGAGTAAGAAAACTATTTCTACACACTTACCTCAAGTACTGGTCCAGCTCCAAGAATAATTTGTTCCACTCCACTGGCAAATCCTTTCTGACTGAGTGCAGTAAGGTGGTGTATAAGAAAGTTTGTGCTTTGAGTCTTCCCAGAACCACTCTCTCCTGAAATCACAATGCACTGATTCTTTTTGCGCTGAAGCATGGCATGATAAGCTACATCAGCCACAGCATAAATGTGGGGCTCCAATTTTCCCAATTGGTGGTTATCATACATTTTGACATATTTGGGATTATAAATAGGAAGAAACTTGAATGGGTTAATAACTATTAGAATACTGCCAACATAGGTATAAATTTTTTCATGCTTAAAGCGATTTCGTAGGTTTTCTAAGAGAGTTTTCTCATTCAAATCAGGTAAGCTACATAAATCATCAAAGTCTTTTTGTTGAGGCTGTGGAAGAAAACCCCGCTCCATCATCCTACGACGTTCTTCTGTTACCCGTAGCCATGACTGCAGACTACCATAATGGATTGATCCATCAAGGTTTTTTTCTCTCAGAAGAAAGCGATAGTCCTCTCCACTCAGGCGATTTTCTAGAGCCATTCGGGGCCACAACATCATTCGCTGAACTGGACAGTCTGTTGGATTGAGTATCCATTCTTCTCCACCAAATTCCTTTACTTCTGCAAGAACATAACATTTTGTTTTGTCAAGATGAAGTCTGTTTATAAGAGAGTCAATCACCTCAGCAGCTGTGGAGTTTTTTCTGGCAGGAATTGGACAGTAGATAGTCCCTTCTGAAATTGTCCCAGGATATATATGTAACGTATGTTCATTATCCTCAAAGCGTCGTCTTCCTCCATCATTTATATTCATATTGGATCCTGTCCCATCAGCATGGATAGTATGTGTCCAAGACCCTGCAAACCATTTTCATGGCAAAAGAACTGTAACATAAAAGATGTGAAACATTTAGAAATCATATAAACAATCTTTACCTTCTGATGCTCAAGAAAGAAAGGCTTAAATCATGTTGATTACATCTTTTAGAACATAATATCCTAATTCTTAGTCTAGAAAGTCTTGAAAACAGTCTGAGACCACGTAATATTACATTTTATTGCCCAAATCTGGACACTTTCTCCAAAAGCAACTTGCCAAAGATTTTTCCATGTTTTATCATACTAATAATGCAAAATCCAGAGTGCAAATAAAAATTATTTTGTACTCTATCTCAAATGTTTCCAAAGTACCTGAGATTAGAGTCAAGTTCTTTCTTTATATTTAAAGAGACTTGCCAAAGACTAGATTAAAAAGGGCAGAATAATCATACAGATCACCCTGCACCCAAAAGCTCTTATGGATAAAGCAAAAACACAAAACAATGCCATCAATGAAGCCAAATTTTTGTGAAATTAAAAACAGTAAGAAGATGATATTAACAACACAGGAAATAATAGATGTTGAAGAGGATGTGGAGAAAGGGGAACCCTCTAACACTGTTGGTGGGAATACAAACTGGTGCAGTCACTCTGGAAAACAGTATGGAAGTTCCTCAAAAAATTAAAAATAGAACTTCGCTATGATCCAGCACTACTATTTACCCAAAGGATAAAAAAATACTAATTCAAAGGGATACATGCACCTCAATGTTTGCAGCAGCATTATCAGCAATAGCCAAATTATGGTAAGAGCCCAAATATCTATCAACTGATGAATGGATAAAGATGTGAGATACACACACATACACACACACACACACACACACACACAATGGAGTATTACTCGGCCATAAAAAAAGAATGAAATCTTGCCATTTCCAACAATGTGGATGGAACTAGTGTATTATGCTAAGCGAAATAAGTCAGAGAAAGACAAATACCATATGATTTCACTCATAAGTGGAATTTAAGAAACAAAACAAAGGAACATGTAGGGGAGAGAGGAAAACCAAGAAACAGACTCTAAACTATAGAGAATAGACTGATTGTTACCAGAAAACAGATGGGTGGGGAGGATGGATTAAATAGGTGATAGGAATTAAGGAGGACACTTGTGATAAGCACTAGGTATTGAACTGAATCACAAAAAAGCTACACCTGAAATTAATATTATACTGTATGTTAACTAACTGGAATTTAAATAAAAGCTTGAAAAAAAACCATTAAGAAGATGAGATTAAATAAAAAAATCAAACTAGATAAAATTATAACTAAGAAAATATGAGAGAAACCTGCTATAGAATAGATATATTTTCAAGGACTTTTGGGCTCTCTCTCTACCTCTCCTAACAACAACAAAGATCCTGCCCCCGGCTTGCTGATAAAATTATATAGCTGATACTATTATAACTTTTATTCAACCTTCCCTTTTCCTTCAAGGTTACCTTTTTATCTAACCTTATTTCATTTCTTACACGTATTCTGCATATCCTTCCAATCTTCTCAAACCCCATGTACATAACACCTCCAGAATGATTTCAACTTTGGCATCCCACTGAGAAAATAGCATTTTCCAACTCAAAATGTATCCCTATTTTCATCTCATCTTAGTTTTTCCATTCTAGTCTACAAAGAAAATATATCCCATGTCCTTTCCAGGGTTAATAAAACCTATTTCTTATCATCTCCATCAAACTTGCCCCATCAGAGAATCATCCTCACATGTTACCACTTTCCTTTTTTATTTCATCCTTTAACATACAAAGATGCTGTTATTTTTTTTAAATACCTTCAGTTACTTCTCTCTCATAATATTACATATTTTTAAAAGTTCTCAAGTGAAGAAACTCTGTTTTGTTTTTTCCTAGATGAACTTTCAAACACAGAGAATATTATGGAACATATAAAAAAGCAGTCATATAGCTACCACCGAATTCAACAAGTTTGAAAACTGCTGTAATTACTCCAGATCAGTTTACAAACAACATATTAGAGATAAAGCTCCTTCTTTTGCTCTGCAGAGAGAACCACTGTCCTGTTTCTATATTTTTATTACACATGTGGGTCTCCATGAATTATAGATAGTACTGTTTCACTCTTTTAGGCTTTAAAAAAATGGTGTCATACCATACTTAATAGTCTGCATCTCACGTTAACATTGTCTTTTCTATTTATAAGTGCTGATACATGTAAAAGTTCATTAACTGCCAAATAATATGCCAATTAATGTTTATTAATTGTTACAAATGTACTGGGGTGGGGGGGATGTAGATATTGGGGGAGACTATGTATGTATGGGGGGAGGTTGGGGGGTTCTGGATCTTCTGTTCAAATTTGCTGTGAACCTAACCTAAAACTGCTCTTAAAAGCAAGGTCTTTGTTTTTAAATCCCATTGGATGATTTATACCACAATTTATCAATCCACTGTCCTTCTAGTGAACACTTGGAATGTTTCCAATATTACACTATTAAAACAATGCTGCAGATCTCATACATGTCTCTTCGTATGTCTTTCCTAGAATTTCTCTGGGCTTTAGACCTAGAATCGTTGGGTTTTAAGCACATTCAACTTTACTAGATATTAACAAAACACTCTCCAAAGTAGTTGTACCAACTATTTCACAGCAAGTGTAGGAAGGGCTCAAGTTTCTCTGCCTCCTTACCAATAAAAGTATTGTCAGACTTGAGTTTCTGCCAGTGTAAGTGTAAAAAGGTATCTCATTACTTTAATTTGCATTGCCCTGTTTATTAGAATGAGGATGAGCAACACTTACCATTTGCCATTTGGACTATGTTGCTTATTCATTTCTGTTTTTTGGGTTGTCTTTTCTTTATTGGTTTAAATGAGTTTTTCATATAGCCTGGATACTAATCAATTTTCAGTTAAATGTGTGATAATTATCTCCTACCTATTAGTGCCTTAGCTTTCTATTTTATTCACAATGCCTTTTGCCATAGAGTTTTTAATAGTCAAATTTATCAATCCTTTACAGGTTATGATTTCTTTTTTAGTAAATTACAGTAACAACAATTGTAGTGAACTCTTATTGTGTGTTTATTTATACCAGTCATTTTTCTAAGCATTTCACATTTTATTTCTCACAATTCCTGAGGGCTGTACAGTTTTACCATTATCATCCTCATTTTACAAATGAGAAAACAAGAAAGATTACATAACTTGCCCAAAGTCATAACTAGCATGTGAGAAAGTTGATATTTGAAGCAGTTCGTCTGGCTCTAAAACCTACATGGCGTTATCTCCTGGTATAGTTTTTAAAAATCCCTCCTCATCCTGAAGACATAAAGTTATCCATCCTGCATTTTCTTCGAAAAGGCCTAAGGTTTTTCTTTTCTCATTTATGTACTTAATCCATACAGAATTTATTTTCATAGCACTCTTATTTTCATGCCAAATCAGATTAGCAATTTAATCAGCACCTCAATGAAGAGTCCAATCTCTCCCTTGATTTATAATGCCACCTCTGTCATGTAGCTAATTCCATATAAATATCAAGGTGTTCTGGGCTCTGTATTCTCTTCCAGTAGTCTATCTGTCCATCCCTGAATCTATCTTAATTACTATACCTCTATAATAAGTTTTGATGGAAGGCATATCATTTCAATTTGTTCTTCTTTAATGTTACTTTGACTCTTTACCATAAGAATTTTAAGATCAGCATGTCCACTACCACGAAAAAAAAAACCTTCTGACATTTTTTGATGTTTATTTTTTTGAGAGAGAGAGCACGCACATGCACAAGCTGGGGAGAGGCAGAGAGAGGAAGACACAAAATCTGAAGCAGGGGCTCCAGGCTCCGTGCTGACAGCAGAGAGCTCGACATGGGACTGGAACTCATGAACTGTGAGATCACGACCTAAGCTAAAATCAGACACTTAACCGACTGAGACACCCAGGCACCCCCAAAACCTTCTGATATTTTGACTGACACTACACTGATTTCATAGATTAATACTGGGAAAACAGACATCCTATTGACTTCCCTTTCATGAAAATCACACTGTTGTTTTACACTAGCTTTCACTTCTAAAGTTTCTGTCATTTTCATATCCACCTGATCTTTTTTCTACCTTAAGTGCCATAACTGGGTTTTTTTGCTTTGTTTGGCTTATTTTAGAAAGAGAAAGAGCGTAAGTGGGGGAAAGGGGTAAAGGAGGAGAGACAGAATTCCAAGCAGACTTCACACTCAGCACAGAGCCCGAATCAGGGCTCGATCCCACAACCCTGGAATCATAACCTGAGCCAAAATCAAGTCAGATGCTCAACCGAGCCCCCCCTCCATTGCCCCCATAATTGTTTTAAGGGATATTACTCACTCTTCTTCTTGAAAATATTAAATATAAAATTTTATTTTTTTCAGTGAAGCATTTTTTTTTTTTTTTAATTTTTTTTTTCAACGTTTATTTATTTTTGGGACAGAGAGAGACAGAGCATGAAGGGGGGAGGGGCAGAGAGAGGGAGTCACAGAATCGGAAGCAGGCTCCAGGCTCTGAGCCATCAGCCCAGAGCCTGACGCGGGGCTCGAACTCACGGACCGCGAGATCGTGACCTGGCTGAAGTCGGACGCTTAACCGACTGCGCCACCCAGGCGCCCCCAGTGAAGCATTTTAATGTCATCCAAAGTAAACTGCTCTTCAGATTTATTTCATATCATTCTCGGCACTAGATGGCTAATTTGTTTGAAAATTTAGATGTACAGGTGTACTTTCTGATGGAAATTTTTTTTTGTTTTTCATATAAACATTTACTGAGAACCCACTATTTACTACTTTGTTTTAATATAACCACAATACCATTAATCACACCTTTAAAAATTAACAATTTTTAATATTACTGGTCAACGTTCAATTTCCCGTTATCTCATAAATATGTTTCTTACTGGTGGTCTGTTCAAATCAGAAGATATGTCCTACAC